TAATTGGAACAATCTCTTGGGGCTGAGACAGGCCAATATACTTCTGGGTGAATATAACCAAAAAAGATCGGAAGCCTGCATCTGCCTGAGCAAGAACAGGCTACGTATTGTACCTAACAGGGATCCTTACCGGGCACTGCCGACTAAAAGGACACCTAAGTAAACTGAAAGTAGTAGAGGATAGTGAGTGCAGATTCTGTGAGGAGGAGGACGAAACCTCCATTCACATCCTAACTGAATGTGTAGCACTCCAGAATCCAAGGGCACTATATCTAGGAGGATATCAAATAGAAGAGGGAGACTTACCTAACTTGAAGCCACTTCAAATCCTACACTTCCTTGAGAAAATAGGATTGGAAGGGTCGCTATAGGCATTGAGACATTTCCTTAGTGCAGTGGCGACAGAAGGGGGCACAATAGATCTTTTAGGTCGCAGTGTATTAACACCCCATTATCAACATAACATAACATCAGCCATACAGAAAAAGAAATCTCAAAATGCTACGAGAGAAAAAGGGAATAATTGATAGAATAGAAATTGCTCCAATTATTATTACACCAAACAGCGATGATAGTGATTTCAGTAGCGATTTTTAAAAGGTAGTGGAACAACAATTCTCAAAGTTATCAGATTTTTTTTAATAAATTTTAATCGTTTATAGTTGAGTACTGATTAAAGTAATATGTCCTAAATATTTAGAAAATAATTTACTGTAATGCGAACCATTTCATTATTCAGTCATGCTCTAATCCTCCATGTCCCTCTGTCTTATTTGGCCTTTGAGGCTCAACTTGTCCGACTATCATGCTTTTTATTTTAAGCTGCAAAGTAGCACTTTTCACTCTTAATACACAAATAACTACTTTATTTAATTATGAAAATCATTTCTAAATCGTGTCTAATAATTGTCGTCCATATAGCACCTTTAAACCACTAAAAATAAACAATTATATATATAATATTATTATTATTATTATTCGTTCCAATGGTAACGCTTCGATGTCCATCGATATATATTTGAATTGACCATCTCTATTAATAAAATTCGTCAATTTCTTGATGCAAAGACGAACTGAACATATTGTGTTTAATGATAATTTTGTAGTGTGTTAATCTCAATAATTTCGTTAAATATTTTGTTTCCTTTTAAATTATTTCGAATCAAGATATTGACAAATTTTTGAGATATTTGTAAAAATGTTTCACATGTTCCATCCGTGGAAAGATAATGCTTTTCAAATTGTAAATAGACCTAATAAATATGACGTTAAAATTTGAGATGAGATATTTAAGAAATTTCTTAAAAATATTTTTGTAAGGAAGAGATTGTATAAAAACGTTATAAACAAAGACTTATATTTCATTTTTAGTGGGAGGATAACTGGCCTGTTTCTTTAAGTTCAGAAATTATCAAAAAAAGTATCACACACACACACACCTCGCAATTTTCATATTTGCACATATTTCAATTACACCATGTATAACTCCTTTTGTCTAGCTAGATCTAGGAACACTTGGCACAGCGACTTTCTCACGTTTAACTTTAACGTTGTTTCATTTTTTATCACAGAACAACAAGAAGATTCTGAAATTCCTTTCTTAAATTCTTTTAGAAACACCGGCATCTCAGTTGAAACTTTTATCAGGAAGTTTACGTGACACCTAGTTATTTACTTGTAAATTCTTGCCTGTAACATTACTTGTATTACTTTGGTGGCTTCCTTCCTTTGTTTTATGGGAGTTCGGTTAAAGAAATAAAACGTTTTATAAAATTAATAGGTTAAACGGTAATCAATATTTATAGACTGATTATCGCATACACAATATCTTGGTCAAAAATATGTTGAAAACTACATTAGGCATTGGGGAAATAAGTGGCTCAGTGGTTAGAGCCTGGACTTGCAGAATCAAGGGTCCGCGGTTCGAATCCCACCGTTGGTCGGGTAATTTTTATTGTTTATTTAAAAATAATTCTGATACACAGGTAGGATTCCCCACTTTGACCATTTACTGTTGGGTTTTAATTAACAATACTGTTTCTAAAGTACCAATGTGAAACAGTAACAAAGCCTACACAGAATACATATTATTAAATAAAAATAAGTACCATTGACTACCGGGACAAACAAAATGAAACCAGATAGACCACATACTAATGAGGAAGGAAATAGAAAGGATACAAGACGTAAGATCATATAGAGGCACTAGTTCAGGATCTAATATAGTAATAACGGAGAGAGAGAAGTGGTATACCATAGCTGACATGCGAGTGAAAGAGAGAGAAATGCGTAGTTTTGAGGGTATTTAAGTTGGTAAGTTTTTTCAACTGCCGAAGAATAAACAGAGAACTAGAAAGTTTTTCTTTAACTGATTAATGTGGGCCGAGATAATTTGATTATTGGCAGATATCTGCATATTTTTCACTGTTAAGTTTTAATTTGTTGGTTGAGAACCATGTGTTTGCTTTGTTCACAATTTCATCAAACGAAGAAATTAAATTTTTATTATTTTTGTCTGTTGAGATGAGTGTTGTATCATCAGCAAATAAAACTGATTTATTAGGTAGCATAAAACGGCTTAGATCGTTAACATAAACAATGAATAAAAATGGGCCCAGGACAGAACCTTGTGGAACCCCTTGCATTACAGCCTGAAACTCAGACAGAACACCATTACTCATCACATCTTGTTGTCTGTTACTGATATATGAATTTATTAGTGCAAGCGGAATTCCCCTTACTCCATAAAAGCTTAGCTTTTCCAGAAGAATATCATGAGAGACGCAGTCGAAAGCCTTGGACAGATCGCACAACATTACTGCTGTGTGATTTCCCTGCTCCAGTTCCTCAACTACATCATTCACAACATTGAGAACAGCCTGTGTAGTAGAGCGAGAGCGTCTAAAACCATATTGGGAGTTGCTGAAGAAGTTGTTTAATTCAAAATACTCACATAATTGTTTTTTAATAATTTTTTCAATAACTTTACCAAATATTGAAACAATACTTATGGGACGATAGTTATCAATTTTCGAGACATCACCTTTTTTGAAAATTGGTAATACTTTAGAGTATTTAAGTACTTCAGGAAATATACCAGTGGATAAAATTAAATTAATCAGTTCAGTAAACTGTTTTATTATAATATTGCAAGTCTCTTTTAAAATTTTACTATTGAGTTCGTGAGTGTCAACACATTTAGAATTTTTTCGAGAAGTAATTGCGTCAAAAACTTCAGACTCAAGAACAGGGCGGAACAAAAATGAGCTACAGGGCATAGGAAAATGTTTAAAATTCAGAAGTTCGGCATTCAAAACATTAGGAAAAGATCTTATTATATTTGCAGCAAATATATTAAAAAATGTATTTATTTCATTTGGTGTTATATCAGGAGTTACTAGATTTCTTTTTGAATTGTTTCTTTCGAAATTAATTATTTGCCAGCATGCCTTGGCTTTATTGTCCGCTCGAGTAATATATTCATCATAGGCCAGTTTTTTTGTTGATTGCAATTTTTCATTGTACTCGCTTTTGAGTTTCTTGTATGTTTTTATGTCATTTGGATTTTTGTAACGTCTGTTATTAGTTTGATGGTTGAGAGATCGTTTCTTAGAGATTTTAGACTGTTGTTAAACCATATTAATGGTGATTTTGTTAAATTATTCTTACATTGTCTCAAGGGAAAATATTTCATACTTAAGTTATGGTAAGTATTGATAAGAAAAGTTGACAAAAAATTACATCATTACCTTTATTACAAAAAATACTCCAATCTATACTACTTAGAGACTTTTTTAAACATCTTTATTCTATTATCTGTAATACACCTTTTAAGACATGTTTGATTTTTATTTTTTGTTAGACTATTATTGTAACTCACAGAAATGTATTGGGCACGGTGGTCTGAAAAGGAGGGTTTAAATACACCGGAAGTAAACAATTCGTTTGCCAAATTTGTAATTATGTTGTCTATACAATTTGAAGATGAACTCTAGTATCATCATGTATTGTAAGAGATAAACCAAAAGAATTCAACAAACATTCAAAATTGAAAATAATTTCAGATTGTGTTTCAAAATTAATATTAAAATCGCCTAATATTATTAATTTGTTATACTTTTCTAGTAATTTGTGTAATGCAAGTTCAAAATTCACAAGAAAAATATCAGTAGTTCCTTTGCCAGACCTATAGACAGTTAAATTTGTAGTTATTAACGATGGCGGATCTACAGCAGAGAATTCTGCATTTTGTTCACTAATATATTCGCTTAAGTCAATTGGAAAATATTTCAAAAAATCTTTATTATTTTTTATGTAAATTGCTACACCCCCATGTATCATATTTGTTCTACAAAAAGAGTTTGCCAAATTGTAACCGTCAATATTAATGTATTTAAGACATGTTTCACTCTGCCAATGTTCGGAAAAGCAGACAACGTCAAAATTGTGATCCACAAGAAAACTGTTAATCATTTCTACTTTATTAGAGATGGATTGTACGTTTATATGAAACATACTCGCCGTACTCTGCTGATTTACATTTTTTTAAATACTAAAAATCTTTTAAAATATTGAAATCGTATTTCATATATTTAATTCTCTTCCGTTTTTTGAAGAGGCTGAAAATTTTTTCTGAAGTTAAATCTTCTTAAACCAGCTTCCTTGGGCCATATAGTTGGGTTATAAACAACATCAATTTTGTCCAACGGGAATGTTACCCTGTAGGTGGAAGAATGTTCATTTCTTCTCCACTCTACACAGGTGAGAGATATGTCTTTTTTAGTAAGTTAAGAATATCTTCGCAAGTCATGTCGGCTCCTATGCGTGTCCTTGTCGTGGTATGGTATTAAAATTTGCCACTTCATTGCAACCTATGATCGGTTTATTTTTATAAAGCACGTTTTTATAAAATGGGAGATTCGGACTGGAGTTCCCATTTTTTGTATTGTTGATATTGTGACTAGTTTTTAGTCTCCCATTATCATGATTTGGATTTGCTCTTATCGCTTGGTTGAATGTGTTAAAGGATTCATAGCAGGTTTTTTGTGATCTCGACTGCTAGTGGAATTATTATTAATATAAGAGGTAGCTGGATTTAAATTTTTGCTAAGAGATGGAGCCACCACTATTGAATTAGCTGCATTCCTATTATGATAAATATTGCATTGTTTTAATAACGAAATCAATTCTTCTTGCTCCTGTGTTCTTTTTTCTAAATGATAAGATAATTTACTTACAGTTGCAAAATCACTATTTACGTTAGTAAGATCTATTTGCAGTTTATCACACTGGACACAGGTTGCACTTTTTAGGTTAACACAGTTATTATCCGGTTTCTCTTTATGAAATACACTTTCACTTAAACTTTGGACGTAGTCAGTTAACTGCACATTATCAACATATGATGGTTACTTCAAATTTATAATAATATCTATTAATTCATTCTTTTTGAGCTTATTTAGCTCCGTCGTTAAAAGTGCGACATTACCTTCAGCCGCCATATTTAAGCAAATCTGTAAAATTATACTGGGGTAATAACCACGATTTACCATACGGACCCAATAAACACAAAGGACCCCGCAATAATCTTATGGAAATTGGGTTTCTGTCAAATTGTCTGAATTTTTAATATGTTGTAGATTTTGTCACCCTGAACAAAAGTCTCCATGGGCACAAAGTGCCAAAATGAATATTTTGGCAGCTACGGAGCTGCCAAAGCTCCCCATACCCGTTGCAAAACTATTCATTTTCAATACCATTTACAGATCTCAAAAGCATATTTTAATTATTCTAATATATAGGGTAATGTTTTTGAGGTCACTGGATTCAACCCTCATGTCAGATTGGACGAATTGACCGTTGATAGCTGGCAATTCACTGTCAACGAGGAATATAAAAGTAAGTATCCTCTTTCAACATTGAAATTTTGGAGTTTTGAGATCGCTGTATTCAATTCTCATGTCAGATTGGACAAATTGACCGTTGACAGCTGTCAATTCACGGTCAACGAGGAATATACAAGTAAATATCCTCTTTTCACATTGAGAGTTTGGGTTTTTGAGGTCGCTGAATTCAATTCTCATGTCAGATTGGACAAATTTACAGGTGACAGCTGTCAATTCACTGTCAACGAAGAATAGAGAAGTAAATTTTTTCTGTTGACATTGAGAGTTTGGGTTCTTGAGGTCGCTGAATTCAATTCTCATACCAGATTGGAAAAACTGACAGTTGACAGCTGTCAATTCACTGTCAAAGTAGAATAAAGAAGAAACTATCCTCTTTTCACATTAAGAGTTTGGGTTTTTGAGGTCGCTGAATTTAATTCTCATGTCAGATTGGACAAATTGACCGTTGAAAGCTGTCAATTCACTGTCAACGAGGAATATAAAAGTAAATATCCTCTTTTCACATTGAGAGTTTGGGTTTTTGAGGCCGCTGAATTCAATTCTCATGTCATGTTGGACAAATTGACAGCTGTCAATTCACTGTCAACGAAGAATATAGAAGTAAATATTCTCTGTTGACATTGAGAGTTTGGGTTCTTGAGGTCGCTGAATTTAATTATCATGTCAGATTGGAAAAATTGACAGTTGACAGCTGTCAATTCACCATCAAAGTAGAATAAATAAGAGAATGTTCTCTTTTGTTATTGAGAGTTTGTCAACTACCATTTTCTCCAATTCTAAAAATTGAATTTAGCGAGTTGGCCAACATAAACTCTCAATGTAAAAAGAGGATATTTACTTTTATATTCCTCGTTGACCGTGAATTGACAGCTGTCAACGGTCAATTTGGCCAATCTGACATGAGAATTGAATTCAGCGACCTCAAAAACCCAAACTCTCAATGTGAAAAAAGGATTTTACTTTTATATTCCTCGTTGACAGTGAACTGACAGCTGTCAACGGTCAATTTGTCCAATCTGACATGAGGGTTGAATCCAGTGACCTCAAAAACATTACCCTATATATTAGAATAATTAAAATATGCTTTTGAGATCTGTAAATAGTATTGAAAATAGTTTTGCAACGTGTTAGGGGAGCTTTGGCAGCTCCGTAGCTGCCAAAATATTCATTTTGGCACTTTGTGCCCATGGAGACTTTGGTCAAAATCTGCAACATATCAAAAATTCAGACATTTTGACACAAACCCAATTTCCATAAGATTATTGCGGGGTCCTTTATTAAAAAATTTGGAAACACGATGGTACCAATTGTGCTTGACTGAAATAATATTTCAGTAACTCGAGGAACTATTACAAAATGGTGAATTGGATTATCAAATGCTATTCCCACTACCTTTTTATAGTAAAAATGAAGCTGACTAAACTTATAAAATACAAAGTGTAATCAAACTGATATACGTTGGAAATGTACTGAAATTTCGTAAATTAATAGTTATAAATTTATAAGGGTTTAAAATAATGAAACAAATAAGTATAAAATATATCTAAAATAACGCTTACCGCTATATACCAACGGACAAATTAAAAAATAATGAACGTATTGTCCTAGTAAAAAATCACATTTAAATAATTAAACCTTTAATTGACCGTTTCGAAATAATTGTCAAAAATAATGGAGTAATAGACAAAATATTTCCTCTATAATCGGGTTTTAAATCCAGATATATGAAGTGAAAACTAATAAAATGATATTTACGACCTCAGCAATTTGCACATTTTATTAAGTTCTTTTTTATACACTCATGAATTTTTTTTTAATTTTTTACATTTTTAAACTGTACTACAAGCCGCATATACACTATGTTCCATAAAATTCCATAAAATCGTGTGGCAATCGCCTTTGCTTATTTAAAAACTTAAAACAGCCCATATCAAAGTTGGCTACTGTCAAATTGGCATTAAAAGAAATAAATGATTTTTAAAAAATACTGAATTTGACCATTAAGCAATTATTTTTTTGGGTTTCTGTTCTAATGCTTGATTCTGATTCTAGACTTCTAAAATTACTTAGATTTCCATTTTTAGCTTTTAAAGTTTGGTCTTGTCTGATTTACGTCGATAAATAAGTTTTAAAGATTATAATTCATTTGATGAGCAACAGATGGTAGCACTTTGGTTAAACCAATAGCCAATTGCATTTATTTGTGAAGGGCACAGTAGTGAGTATTTATTTGTCTATCACAACCGCCGTTGTGTGTTACCAAGTTAGAAAATGGCATCAAGACAGTCTAAACAAGATATTCACTCATTCTGTTTTATTCGCGGTGAATCTGTTAAAGTAAGAAGCAAACATTTTGATTTGGCAATAAATTTGAAGCTTTGCGAACCTTATGAAGCCTATTTTAACCTCAAAATTTGGAATCAAGTTAAAAATAGGTGACTCAGTTTGCCTGCACTAATTGCAAAAATACTTTAGAAGGTAAAAACTATATTTTCAGATAGAAAAACATAATATCGGGTCAGAACCAATTGTAGATCCTAAAAATATATTGATGCCCCCCTTACATATAAAATTGAGCCTAATGAAGCAATTTGTAAAAGCTCTGGATATAAATTTTGAAACTTTTGATTATTTAAAGGGATTTTTTCCCAAATTATCTGAAGCTAAAGTAAAAGCGGGTATTTTCGTCGGACCACAAATAAAACAAATAATGAGCAGTGATGATTTCACAGAATTCCTTAATGCTCATGAAAAACAAGCATTAGTAGTAAATTGTTTTCTTGGTAGCAACAGAGCTGACAATTAAAAATATTCGATTAAAACTTTTTAAAATTATGAGCTACAGAATGTCCTATAAACTTCATATGCTACATTCTCACCAGAATCAATTTAAAGACAATATCGGTGCCTGCTCGGAGGAGCACGGAGAACGTTCTCACCAGGATGTGATGGCCTTTGAACAACATTACCAAGGGCAGTACAACGAGAATATGATGGGAGATTACATTTGGGGTTAAATACGAGAAAACCCATACAAATATAAAAAAATTACTAAAAATATTCATTTCTGACCTTGATTTTTGTCATTTTACATTTATATGCCATTTTTTATCACAATTCTTGAATTAAAGAGACTTTGATGTTCGGAAAAAACTTTGTTAATTGTAATCAAAAATAAAATTATAAAAATCAGTAAATTTTCTTGAAAACTCGAAAAGTTGTACTAGTTTCTACAAAATGAAACTTTGATCAGAAAAATTGTTTTTTCGTTTATGTGTAACATAAGAAAAACCAAAATTTCATATGCAGAAATGAGACCTAAAAATCGTGTCGCCCAGTGTAACTAATGCAGTACCTTGCCAATTCTAATTTTGGCTATTTTAAGTTTTAAAAAAGCGAGTGGCCGTTGCCAATGCTTTAAAGGCAATCATAAATTGTGTCATACAAAGTTGATGGTCCTACGACATTTTTTCCAATGGTAATATAAAAACAAATCTCATGTGGATCCAACTTTATGTAACACCGCTGTATGAAAAGAGATTTTGATTAAATACTAACTTAAAAAATATTAAATTTATTTGTTGATTATAAACAGGGTTTTATTGATATAGATGTACATATTAAAGTGACAAGAGCTCTTATGATGTCCAAACACAAATGGAAACCAATTTTAGCATTTAATTGTAAACTTTATAAATAGGTAAATTTCTCCTATTTTCGACCATTATTCTGTGCTTGTTTGTTAAACTAGCCTGTTTTTTTAATTTAAATTAACAACATTTTAAACTAATAAAATATCTAATTAACTTGTGCAGAATTAGAATGATTCTTACTGTCATGTACTTTTTAATAATAAAAGAGCAAGAGTTTGGGTTTTTGGGTTCAAAAAGGAAGTATTAACTATGGTATTGTAACGACACACCTTCGGTACCCCCATTTTGATTCGTTATTTTACTCTCTGAAATATTATTTACCTCACAAGTTTTACTTTAAATTTTATACTTATTTTATTTGGCCTTTTCCTTCTAGTAGTAGAAGTGATCGTCTAGTTAATTAATTGATAATTTATATACCCACATTGTGATAATGATAATTAAGGTAAACCAGGATTCGATGCAAAGTTTGGTGCAAATTGATAAATAAAACATACAAATTCATATTTAAACTCTTTTATTTTTTATACTTTAAATCTGTGAAACAATTAGCAAAGCATATTACAATTGGTATTATTTACTGAGATTTCACTTAAGTCGCGTTCAAACGCAGACCATATTCATTTGCTATCAATATATATTTTATTTAGGTTGATGACCAACGGAGTTAACGAACAGCGTCAATTCGCCAGTTGGTTAATTACTGTGTTGATGCTTATATTCTTATTTAAGTTGTTGACCAACGGAGTTAAGGAACAGCGCCAATTCTCTAGTTGGTTAACTATTATGTTGGTCCCACAATAGACCTGAAAAGGTCGCGGTGGAATAGGACAAATAACATCCAACTCCTAATCTAATCTAATCTAATCTAACTATTGTGTTGACGTTTATGTTCTTATTTAGGTTGATGACCAACGGAGTTAACGAACAGCCCCGATTCGCCAGTTGGTTAACTACTATGTTGATGTTGATTCGATATACACAGGTTGTACCCTCTAAGGTAAATATTTCGACGAATATAGAGGTGATGACCAACGGAAGTAACGAACAGCGCCAATTTGCCAAATATGTTGATTTCACATATACTTTGTTTCAAACCTTGTAGAATGGGTGGCTTAGCGTATAGGTGTCCCCTCTTGAGTTAAAGAACAGTGTATTCACCAGTTAGTTAACTTACTATTAAATTTTACCATCTTGTTTGTTCAATTTATCTAAGATAGCACATCCCTGTATATTTTTAAAATATTGATTATTATAATTTCTATTGAAATAACTTAATACAACCCTGTATATATCTTAATTTTGATTCACCCGAAAAACACATTGACAACCTAAATGTCTTTAGGGGTGAACGACTGAACGACTGAAGGCCATATGGTTTATTGGTTACATTGATAATTGGCAGAAAATGTCAGGAGCGAACCAGTTCTAGGAATCAGCCTTGACCTCTCCAATACCTTCGCAAAATCATTGATGGTCTTGGAGGAATCAAGAGTAAGAGGACTGCAATTATCACTCTTCAAAACTATCTAAGTGGTACAAATAAGCAACCATGTCAGTCCTTTAATTATTTGGTATTATTATTTTTGGAGAAATATAGATGAAATTTTCTCAAATTTTAGAGAAAAAAATTGACGTTGTGTTCCCGTTTTCATTGTACCGTCAATATTCACTTTTTTGTCAACTACTTTTAATTAAGAAAATTCATCTAGCAATTTAATCTAACCAATAAGATTTAACATGCTTAGTGATATTTTAAAAATGTCATTATTTCTACATTTGGGATAAGTTTAAAAAGCTGATACTCAAATATATCATTTACTAAATATCTTAGTTTATTCCCCGTTATCAATTTATTTATATTTAAATAATTTTATTTATATAAATGTTCAATTCGATAGGAAAAAGAGTGAAAAATTCATATTAAAATCATAATAATACCTTTTCAAGTATTTTATGGGAGAAATTATAAATACCGTTTGTTATATTTATTTTTTAATATAATGGCAGTTATACATTAATGTTTAAATTTATTTCGGAACAATTTACAGATTAAATAAAAAACATATTAATTAAAGCTCATTACAGTCTGAATATGTATGAATCTAAAAACACAGGAATTAAATCAATCTGGATATTATCTGATTACTGATTACATTGAACATGTGCCCAAGCTGTCCACGCGAACATGGATCGAACAAGAGATTTACAAACAAAACATATCCTAACAGGACCGGTTCTTGCTTAATGTGCGACCAAATAGAATGACGGTATTATCAAGTCATACATAATAGTTTTTATAGTCGATGCAAGTACTTCTACTACATAAAATTTATATTTATAAAATTTATAAAAATACATTGCATTCGACTAATTTATGTTTAATATGTTTTCGTGAAGTTTTTCCAACATGCCAGTTACTTGAATGGTTGTAAATTGTAAGAGTATAAGTGACAGAAACTGATCTAGTATTGTACTTCCTTGTTTTTTATTTGTTGGTATCCTAGCCCAGCATTACTAGCCAGCAGTAGTAGCAAAAACATTAACATTGTCTACACTCAACCGATTTACATGTACATTATTTATGAGGTAAAAGCAGAACAGAATAGTTCTTTGCAAGGTGTAAACAATGCTACAAGGAAAATTGCTCATGTATAAATTCAACAATTAAATCAAAATATATTATTTTTAAAGGACTTATGTTAATTATAAATATTGTAATATAAATATTTGTAACAAAATAATAGTTATGTATTAATAAACCTGTTGCACGCCAAAAATATATTGTTGAAATATGTTTTATTGCTCCTAATATTTTTTAATAGGTTCTTATTATAGTTGTAAATAAAAATCAACCCTTTTTATCCATCTATTTAACACTTGCAAACATATGCATATTTTTAAGCTGTAAGGATCCGTAGCCTCTTTAACCTGTAACTGGTGACGTGAAATATTTTACCACTGTTGGTGACATGGAGTCTGCCAGACTCCTCAAAAATTAAGCATGGTAGGGCTTCAGGAATTTTTACCTGGGTTATAAATATTTTTCACAATTATACTCTGAGGTATTTTGAAAATGTTAATTGATCAAAAGAGTTACAATCAACAATTATTTTAATATTAAAAATAATAATGCAAAAGAATGAACATTTGTAGTAAAAAAAAATAACTTAACTTAAATCCTATTTTTTATAAAAAAAATAACTGATAGAGTATAAAAAAAGTGTTTCTACAAAGATTAATACCTAACAAATACAACTGTATATAATAGTTGCGTTTAGTTACAAAATGACACCAAAACTACAAGTCTCTAAATTAGTCATTTTTTGTAAGACATTCTCGGCACACTTTTTTGGCGCATTCTAAGCAAATAGGTTTTTTGCTTTGAAAACAATGGTATTTCGTTTTCCGATGCAGTCTGGATGGACATAAGTAACAATATTTTCTTTTTTCCAAAGTTTCCTCAACTTCTTCACTTTCTGGAATATTTAGAACACGGCCGATTCCTTTACGAATGTCAGTTGAAATTCTCTTATTCAAATACCTACGTTCCAAATGCGGCCTTACAAGTTCCATGGCAAGTTGTTTCATAAAATCTAGACGTGTAATCTGAAGGTTTCCTTTATAGGTCTGAAACATTATAAATGCATTTACTGTGCTCATATCTAGTATTTGAAAAAATACCGCCATTGGCCAACGCTGGGTTCGGCGCGATGAGCTATACACTGCACATTTCTCATCTAATGAGTCCACGCCTCCCTTTGTACTATTATAAGTCTATTATTTCTGGCTTTTCATTTATTGACAATTTAGAGTGATGCATGGATGATACTAATACGACGCCTTTACCTTTTTTTAGGCACAAAAGATATAATAGTAATGTCTTTAGTGAAACCATATAAACACGAACCAACTTCTCGTTTTCTGTTTGGTAAAAAACATGGCGGTATTTCCTTTTTATTTTTTCGTAGTGTGCCTACGTATGTGAGTTTCATAGATTTTAGCTTTTCTACTAATTCAATCGAACTAAACCAATTATCGACGGTTATATTTCTATTAGTGGCTTCAATTGGTTTTGTAAGCCTGATTACTGACTGAGTAGGTATTTTTAGTTTTTTTTTTTCATTGTTTAAGCCCATGCTATCAGAACCTTTTCCGGTATAAATGTAACCATTATAAGCAAAACCGCTTCGAGCATCTGTAAGTAACATTACCTTTAAACCGTATTTCACTGGTTTTTGCGGCATATACATTTTCAATCTTCAGCGTCCCCTAAAGCCAATAAGCATCTCATCTATGGTAGTGTTTTCTCCTACAGTATACATAGATTAACAGTTTTGAAAAACATGGTAAATAACTCACTAATTGCAGCAGCTAGATTTGACAATGCTCTCATAATCCTGTCTTCGGGATTGTCAAACCTGAGGCATGCGAGTAATACGGAAAATCTTTTTTCACTCATAACCAATCTAAAAATCTCTCTTCCCGTTCCGTCCGTAGCAAATAAAGCTGAGATATGTTCATGATTAGACTTAAAAGCCGAACTAAATACTAGAAGACCCAAAAAAGCTTTCATCTCAACATAGTCCACATCCTTTAGTTCTGGTTAATCTTTTCTTTTGTAGCCCTCTGCCATAGTTAGTAGTTTTACATTAGTCCATTGTACAATGCGATTTATCATATCGTCACTGAACAACAAGTTCCAAACTTTTTGTGGATTATTGTATTCCTGAATTTTTGCCGGTTGCCGTAAGCTTGGCAAATGAACGATTAAATTGTGTGAAGGGGTTCTAACATGCCTTGTAGGTTCTTGACGCGATCATTTGTGCCTATTTTTACTATAATAGTTTTTACTTGACTTTGATGTGTCGCTATTTCGCGGTTCTTCAAACACTTCTTCCAACTCTTCTTCTAACTCTTCTTCTAGTCCCTCTTCCAAATATTCATGCTGTTTTTTTTTGTGTTATTAATAAATTCCTCTTCCGTCTCAGATTCTGTCCGGAACTGTATCCTTACTTTCCATGTAAAAGTCTTCATCAACGTTATCGACGTCACTGGACCGGCAGCTATCTTCTTCATACCACTGCATAAGAGTAGCATCATAATCTGGATCTCCAAATTTTACTCCTTTAGACGGTCCGGGTTTGTTTTCCATTTTTATTTTTCTAAAGAGTAAAAAATAATGAGACCAAGTCGTTATAAATTTTCTTTGTATACTTACGTTATTGGTGACGTGGAGTCTGCTGGACTCCTCTGAAATTTCAAATACACGTACTACCACTACTACGTCTTTCACGACACTAACGTTACCGCATGTGATTGCTGTAGGCATTGGTAGAAGGTACCTAGGAGGGGGAGTTCATTTATGTTAAAATTCAAAGATGGCGTGATTCAAAGAAGTTGTTGAAGTCTGGCAGACTCCATGTCACCAGTTACGGGTTAATTTTTTACATTAGACACAAGACCTGTGATGTCACATTAAATCGTGAATATGAGGTAAAGGATTTGGGAGTTGTCTCATAGTCTAATTTGAAGTTCAATAAACATTTCTTACACATAACTAAAAAAGCAATAATAGCTTTGGGTTTTTAAATCAGAAATACAAAAAAATGTAGGATTACCACCAAAATCAGATTATATTTTGCCTTAGTAAGACCCCATCTTAAGTATGTTTTACAAATATGGATGCCTTCGAAAGCCACACATATTGATCATATTGAAAAAGTACAAAAAATATTTTTTACGATTCCTTTATGTCATAAAAAACAACTCGTACCCTTATAAGATCTCATATAAAACTATGCTCGATAGCTTTAAAATTGAATCTCTTTTACAAAGAAGAAAAGCAACAGGCTATGATATAGTTTGTACTCTATTTTAAATAATGTTTAGTACAAAGATTGTGATTTGCTTATCTATTCATATACACATATACAATAAGCTTTACTCCGACTATGACTTATTTAATACAACGTTTTATGCGCTAAAGAACAATTTGAACATTTCTAAATAATTTTGTTTTAATTTGTATGCAATTTTAATAGGGGTTATTATTATTATGTTTCTTGTTTTTTTGTATGTGCTATATTTTTGTAACCAGAGTTGGTTGATTTGACATATGTTTATTTAAATGTGTGTACTATTTAGAATAGTAGGGGGAATGGCGTTCACTTAATGGAAAAACGCTGTATTTTTTTATATATTGATTTATATTAAAATTATGAAAAATACAAAAGGTTTAACCATTCAGTAATCAATATTTTAAGACCAATCGTTTGTCTTATTATTGGTAGGAAAATATATAACAAAAAACAGGTTTGAGCACTATTGCCCCTGACTATGGGAAATGCCGCTCAGACAAAGGGATAATGACGCTCAAAGCTATATGTTTGAACTGAGATCTATTTTTATTAAATGACTGTATGTATACAAGAGAGATCAACCTTATACAACTAAACTAAAGTCTATAATCACAAATAAGCAGTAATTATCCTTATTAAAACATTGAGCTATAATCAGATTTTAATCTTAGCGCATAGATCACAGACATATCCATCTGGAGAATTCCTTCCAGAGCATATAGCATGAGACCACGCACGTAGTACCACATCTCATTATTTTTTCCGAGTTCTTCCCAAATATTGCATTTGTTATATTTTTCGTCATCCATATCCATTTCATCATCACTGTCATCGTTGCAAAGGTTTTGATTTTCTTCAACTTCACTCTCTGAAGAACTTTCATGCAGCACTTTGCGTTTATAATATTTTTTAATATTTTTACCTTTTGCTGTTTTTTTAAGTCGTGTTTTCTCATTTTTTTCATTCTTATTGATTTTTGCTATTCTTTTATTTTCTTTCTCTTCTAAAAGCCTTTCCATTGGAGTTGAAGTTAATACTGTAGCATGTTGTTTCCTCTTTCTTTGACCTGGTTTTGAAGATGGTACAATAGTTGGTGTAGTTGCTATAGCAGCAAAATGGAGAGGAGTCCTTCTTTGTTCGTCAACAAGTCCCTAGTCAGATTGATCAGGATCAGGTAATTTAGATTCGGGGCTCCGATACTCATTTCATGGACCAGATATAAGCGATGCAGAATCAAAGGTATGTCACCAGACTGTACAGCTTCAAGATTATCGACATTTTGGTCTTCGTTTTGAATGGGTTTGTCTAATTCCTGAGCCATTAACGATGTTGCTAGAAAGTCTTGCTCGGTGAAAACATTTGGGTTTAAAGGGTATATTCCCGTGGCTCGAAATCCAGATTCACCCTGGCATATATTTGCAATTTGTACATATGCTTTATTGAAAAGACATGCAACATCATACTGAGTAATTTTAGTCATTAAGTGTGTTTTCATGTGCTTGTTGCATTCGTGTCTATAAGCAACTTTCAAGGGTACATAAAAAGAAACATCAAGAGGCTGTGTTCTGTAAGAGCTGTGTGGTGGAATCGAAAGAATTAGTGAGGCCGCGTGACGAGAGATTCTCATCTCTCGTCTCGTCTTGTCTCGTCTCGAACGAGACGAGAAAGATATTTTCTCTCGAAAACAGATTCGAGACGAGACGAGAGAGTGTCATCTCGTGACGAGAATTTCTCGTTTTTCTCGGGCTCTCTCGAACAATTTTCTCTTTGCTTATTTGAAATTTTCAATTGCTTATCGTAACTTAAAATTTCAACATATTAGATTTCGAGATAGTCAAAAAAATTAACTATAACACACCTATTCTATATATATTAAATGGTAACAAATGATACTTGTGTTATAAGGATTTTATAAATAGTGATTTATAAGAAAAAGTATTGCTCATTTCATTTATTTAAAATTTATACAATCATTTCTTATATTTAATCCATTCTGCTTTCCTGGGGTTACTTTTGAAGATAAGTTGAAATTTTTTAAGCAGTTTTTTGAAAACTGTCAAAGAAAAGGTAATACAAACGAATGTATTATATACAGTGAGGACGAAAATTGTACCCTTCTCTATTTTAACTTCTAAATGAAGAAGGATAATGACAAAACAAAAACAAGGTAAAACTCAAGAGATATTATATTTTTGTTATAACGAGATGCACTTTACTTGAGACACGTAAGATAGAGGGAGATACTAGCTTCCAATTTTCTAATGGAAAGTAGGGTCATGTGATACCTTACTGAGAAAGATATTTTCTATATTTTTAGGTTTATGTAAATAGATTTAGGTTTTATGTTTCATGTTTTTACAGAAATTACAATAAATAAATTCATAGAGTAGGTTAAATTCTTTTTTTATTTACCGCATCAACCTCAAAGAATCATTACCGGAGGTATAATACCTTATAAATGCTGTTTTTTACAATAGTATGAAATGGATAGCTAACATTTTGGCTAGTACAGAGTAAATGTCAGTATCTTTTATAAATTTAAGTAATTTTTTACTGTTAGAGGGATTTAACACTGCACAAATGGCAATTTTTTGTACCTGGTACTTTGTTCTTATACAGACATATTCTGGGCCTTAACTAATAAGTTACATTCTTGATAACTCTCGTATTAACAATTATTGTTTATTACTAAGGAAACGCTTCTTGTATTTACTAAAATAAATAAATTAAGAATATCAAAGTTGATTTAAAAACCTCTGGACGTATTACATTTTTCATAACCTATTGGCAAAAAAGCTTATTAAAAAATTATCTTCTAACATTATATAACATTTCTAGGATTATTGCGGCACACGAGGATTATCAAGAATGTAATTTTTGTAAAAACAAAAAAAAATAAAACTGTTTGCTTGGACGTAAATATAATTAAAATATCTTTCAAGGTATTCCATAACCTTACTTTCCATTAGAAAATTTAAAGATAGTAAAGCCCTCTGTTTTACGTCTCAAGTAAAGTGCATCTCATTTTAACAAAAATATCCTAATGCTTCTCTAATTTCACATTGTTTTTGTTTTATGTCTCTATCTTCTTGCATTTTAAAAACATACTACAAAATGCTTTCATTTGACATTGCAGGATTGCATTAGAAAAATTCTAACTTCCAATTTAACCTCTTCTCCCCCTCCCTAACTGACGTACAAGACAAAGTATTTTCGTTTTTAGTTGTTCAACCGTTGTCTCTATAAAGGTATCTCACATCTCGCTCATGCACACGAATTTGAAAAGCAGCAGAACAAAAATTCACCTAACCAGTTATAACCATGTCCGTGTAAAGAAAACTTTTCATTTCCTGAAAACGTCAAGTGTCAACTAAAATTTCTACTTTTAAAGATCAAACGTGCCACCTCAGAGTGCCAGTACCTCCGAGCAATTACTACTAGAGAGAGTCTTCCCCCCTTCCCCGTGCTAAATTTTGTTAGCAACATCTACTCCCCCCGAGGGGGAAAATACCTCTTCATCAATTGGCTTATTTAATCAGCGTTGCCCAGTTTGTGAGTTTGACAGCGCCAGTTCTGACACTTTCTAACACATGTCAATTTCTTATTTGTATTTTACGGAAAATATTATTATTTTATAACGTTGTAAGGGTTGTAAATGTATATTTAAGATTTAATATCTCTAATAATATGGTGAAAACATGCTTTATGTGTAAAAGACCTATTGAAAATGCTTCATCAAGATAATATCATAAGTAAGTACAGACACAACCTAATTATCAGAGGCGGTGCATTAGGCAATCACCTTTAATTTGCAATTAAACTTTCTTATTTTCTTATCGAAAAATTGAAATTAAGAGCAAGTAAACTCCAGCTTAGTTCTTTTTCATTCGTCTCATAATGATTATAGTAAAGGTTAATTACTTACTATTAGTTTAATATCACATCTTTGTAAAGTTTATTGTTATTTTTTTTAGGTTTCCTTTTCTTGTTATGAGAAAGAAATACATGGTTCCAAAATATAGGAATTCAACAAGTGACCGACCACCTGAATTACTTTTTATGCTAATAAACATTTTTATTACATACCTCAGGGGAAGAAAATATTAAAGAAAAATTAACTATATTATATAGTACAAAACTAAACAAGAATATCACATTATTCATGTTTTTTTTTAATTTCCTTAAAAAAGTCCCAAAAAAATGTGAATATTTATTATTGGAGTTTATATCGTTATGCTAAAACAATACTAGAAGTGTCGGACCTTTCTCTTGCCTCGTATAGTAATCAAAGTATGTGGCCAGTACTGAATAATACTTATACCACAGAAGAAAGAACAATACAGAAAAGAAAGTAATGGTCGGAACTTTGAAGTTGAAGGGATAGAAATATTT